GGCTTTCTTTACTCCAAGCAGCTAAGCAAAAGAAGTGCAGAACAGGCAAGCATGTGCCGCTAGTAAGGGTGCAAAGTACAGCCAACAGGAATGAAAGGGCTTTTTATCGTATACCTTATAAGACAGCAAAATGGGCAATTGAGCAGACCCTTGAGAGGTCAACTCCATGTAATCTGAGATTTTAGTTTGGTTTGCTTGCTTACATTTATTGATTCACATGTTGCCTGTTTTGATGACTGCATTGCTGAGATCTCCTCATCCAAATATTCCGCTCTGTCCATCAAACCACCACATCTATTACAAAGCCAAATGGCGGTGCCATGCCACCCCAGTAGGTTCTTCACAATGTAGAATGAACAAATACTCTGGGAATCTAGCTGCGAGACAGCACCATATGTTATGGTCTACTAGTGGCCGAGATCTGGACATTGGGTCTCTGAAAGCTAGAAAAAGTTGACTGGTGAATAATTTATTTGAGGCAGATTTGGCCTTTAATTACAGCAAACGCAGCTCTGACAACATAGACCTCAAAAAGCGTGAGCTGCTCATGGCAACTAGTCACCTCTTCTGTTCCTCTGTTGGAACAGGAATATCTAACCTTGGGTAAGTTCCGTGTTGAATGGTATCAGAGCTTACACAGGGCTAAATTGCTCCTTCTTCTGTGAAAGGCCTAGAGAGTAGCTACTAAGGGGTTTTGAATGAATCCCAGGAGCAGATCACTTACTACTGCAAACTTGGAGGGCTCGGGCACACCAAAGGGTGTGAACTACCGCTATGGGTATTGCCGAGAAGATGGTTCAGAGAACCTGTTCAGGTTCTCTAAACCATTTTGTTGGTGACAGAGTGAGGGAGTCCCCAGGTCCAAACATTCCTGGATCCCAGGTCAGTCCCTGTGTGATGGAGTCTCCAGGTTCAAACATTCCTGGATCCCAGGTCCATCTCTATGTGACGGAGTCTCCAGTTCCAAACATCCCTGGATCCCATGTCCATTTTTGTGTGACAGAGACTCCAGGTTCAAACATCCCTGGATCCAAGGTCCGTCTTTGTGTGACGGAGTCTCCATTTCTAAACATCCCTGGATCCCAGGTTTATTTCTGTGTGACAGTCTCCAGATCCAAACATTCCTACTACTCTGTATCAGGTAGGACAAAGTAGGCTCACCCTTGCAGTGTAAAAACCACTGATATAAATCTGATATATCCCTGGCCTAACATCATGTCAGACTCTACAGCTGCTTTGCAGCCTTCCAGAATCCATTGCCCTGCTTCTGCTTGGGAATTATGGAGCATAAAGTTTAATATTTTCTGCATTGTTCCTGACAGCCAACGCTCCTGCAATGCAGATGCTGATATTAACTGTTCGCCAGCTTCTTGGCTGTTGTACTGCGTAACGTCCTTGAGCGAACATTACATTGACGATACAATACATCGCATCCTTTATTCATTGTCTGATTCAGACTCCACCACCATTTAAGGCCATTAAAAAAAAAACAGCTAGGGAGCCTTGAACTGACTTCTCGAAGCTGCATTCATTTCATTTGTATGGGGTCCTTAGCAGGAATGTGCCAAATGGAACACTGGACAATTAATGAAGGAACGCTATAATTTAAAGTGGAATTTCAAATACAAAAACTGATGGGACCAATAAATCGGAAGACAATTTTACCACGATTAAAAAAGGGCAGTGCAAGAATGCTTAAAGATTACAAACTTTTATACAGTAAGGAAGGATATTGAAGTGACCAGCCTTGTATACTGCAGTGCCTCTATTCTATTCTGTCTTTGTAACTTGAACCCCAATATAAAGATTATCTGCATATACACTGTTGAAGTGTCCAAGCCCCTTTGTCAGACTTGGTAATGCCTGATCAGGCACCAAGCAGTGCATTGCAGAAGGCAAGGGGGCTGTACATATATAATATACCCCATCTCAAAGTACTGAATACTTGCAGGACTTTAGCGGTGTCTCCTGGCACTGAGCGAGTAGAGTGAAGGTTTGTGTAGGCATCTGATAGGGCATGCAATTGATAGGGCTTGCAACCATGGATTGCAGGAAAGAAAATTGCTTGATTCCCCTTATCAACCCAGTGTTGATGGGAGAATCCCTCCCATGGAGCTTTTGTATCCTGACAGTGGGAGGTTTCCCAGCTGTTAGAATACAATGATCATCATTGCCGGAAACTATAGCCACCAGCAGTGATAAAACATAAAAGAAAACCCGACAGGCTGGTTGTATTGAAGCCCATCAATGCATCAACTTCAGTACAACCAGCCTGCCCATAGACAGATTGAAATTCAGCCAGTCCCTGCTGAACCAGCCAAATGTTGATCCATCTATGGCCAGGTTTAGTTTGTGTTGCCAACAGAATTACTTTAAAACCTCATTAGTTTTTTTCCATCTCTGGACATCTCTGATTGTTATGCCTATTTCATGGTTCTTGTTGGAATTTCAACCAAAAATAGTCAAACAGATCAAGGCAACCTACCAACTGTTTACATTTATACCTATATGGCAAGGATAGTGGTAGGTTGAGTTCATCTGCTCCATTGTTTCTGCCATCAAAAAGCTGGTTGTAATCTGCAAAAAGTTGCATTGTCTATGGCCTAGAATTCCGAATGATGGACAGCACCTCAATGAAGCATAGCTGAGGGCTGTGAGGTCAGGGATTTGTCAAATTTGCATCATCTGTGCTCCTGTTGGACACATATGCTCAAGTCTGATAAAGTTTCATATCTATTGAGGACCTCCTTACTTTGATGTTACGCTAAGAATCTGTTTAGACACACATAAAGGGTTGATTTACTAAAACTGGAGACTGCAACATCTGTGCATGGTAGCCAATCAGCTTTTAACGCCAGCTTGTTCAATTGGACACAAAAAAAAAAAAACTTGGAAGCTGATTGGTTTCTATGCAGAGCTGCACTAGATTTTGCACCATGCAGGTTAGTAAATCAACCCCAAAATAACGTGGAATTCTTTAAAACCCAACTGAACTTGCTGTTTAAAGTAGCTAAACACATGGACTTTGCTGATTGGAGAGCTCTAGCTCTGTTTCAGCAGATGGGGGGGGGGGGGGGGGGGGGTGTAGTATCTCTGCAAAGAGACCACCGCTTCCACACAGAGAGCAAGGGTGCTTTTTAATAATTAATGTTGATTTGTTCTAGCTCTGAGACTTTGATTAAGCAGCGGGGCATGTCAGATCTCTGCAAAGAGACCACTGTTTCCACACAGAGAACAAGGGTCCTTTTTAATTACTTTAATGCTGATATGCTATTGGTCAAGACTCAGATGGGGGTGTTTCAGATATCTGCAAAGAGACTACTGCTTTCACCCAAAGTACAAGGGTTCTTTGTGCAGCATGCTGGAAGGGGAACAGGCTTTTCTACTCAGGCTGTGGCCATTTTCTACAAAAAAAACTCTAAGAGTTTGCACAGCTTTTTCTTGTTATGCACATGAAAAGTATTTAGCGAATGTAAACTGAAAGATCACATGGGCTTTAAAAAATCTTTTATCCCATCATTTGCAACATGATCCCGGGGAACTGTACCCACAAGGGTCTGCAGAATGAAGCCAAAAACTAATGTAGACATGGAATATCATGTGTCTACATGGCAACAAATATACTTTCAACAGAAGCCTACAGCTACATGTACACAAGAGAACAACATGAGTAATAGATGCCATTTAGAAAGGTGGTGATTTGCTATCCTGTCCTTCAATAGAAAATTCCCTAAAAAGGTGAAAGAAGGCTTGATGGGCTGGAGTACAAAGAAACTCTCTGTACGTCTCTATCCATTTTTTTGTTACTCATTACTGCTCACCAAAGAGACCCTATGCATCATGCAGTAAGCCAGAGTATATGCATTTAAAGTGCACCCACATATCTACAGTTCACAAAGCAGCGAGCCATTTTGTGACTGCTCCTAACAAATACCTAGGAGACAATGGCATCGTTGCTTTCCAGTGAAAGGATCAAGGACGCATTCTCTAATTCACAAAATGGCTGCTTCTACATTGTGAATGTGGCAGATTCACATAAACGTTCCCACATTTAAAGGGCAAAAGCACCCACCAGCTCTCCCACAATTCCTGCCATGCGCCACTGCACTGTTTTGGCTATAGAAAGTGGGGGGGGGGGGGGGGGGGTTATACCATTTTCCGTTAGCTTGTATGTTATATTTTACATTGCAGCAAGCAAAGCGAAATTGGGCAGGCCATCAGGGCCAAATTGGGACCTCCAGCAGGACAATACAGCCTCTGGAATCTCCCCAGATATATCAGAAAGCCAGTATGTTATTTACTTAACATGCTATCAAACATCTCCCTTTAAATAAAAAAAAGCTCACTGAATGTGACTAGAACTACCTTGTTTTGTTAGTGGAAACCCAGCATATAAAGGAAATGCAAAGATGAACAGATCTGTACATAGTGCATAGTCATACCCAGAGCTGCTTTATGCCACAGCTTGAGTAAGAAGAATAAGGTCAGACATTGATTTCTCTTGACTGGTTTGGTGCCAGTGGTGCAGTAAGGTACAAAAGCGCTGAAAACTAAGCAGATGTAAACAGAAAAGTCAAAAAAGGGCAAGTTTGTATTGGATAGGACATTCTACAAGACTAGACAGTTTTGCCACATGCCTTGCCCAGATGCCCACAGCCTCCTTGGCATCGGTCAACATTAACGCCACAGGGCCTATGGATTCAGAATGTGCAGGCTGCAAGCAAAGGGTTTAAGCTCCCAAGGTCCTCCATGGGGCTCCCTGCACATAAGCACAGCCTGCTGCATCCTACATCATGTACAACCACCCCCGAGGAGGTTTAAGAAAAGTGCAAAGCCAAGGGAGCCTGCCAAAGAAAGCCCATCTCCTCTGCTCTGGGCTCTCCGGCTCACCATGGTCCTTGAGCTTTGCATGGTGAAGCCAGAAGCAGGAAATACTCCTTTTTGTTTTACTTTTTCTTTTTTTTTTTTGGAAACAAGGACGTAATAGACACTATGCCTCCTCACATTAGGCTTTTTCTATAATGACTGCTCAGTTTCTGCTTAGGGTCTGTGGACTGCAGGTCCGCTTGTTTGTATAGGTCCCTCAGTTCCTTAATTTCTTGCAGGACCTTCCTGGCCTGCCTCCAGTTGGCAGAGGCCTCTCCTAAAAGCCTCTCAGCCTCTTCCAAGTCCTCCTTCCCAGAGGAATCCTTTCCCTTTTTTTTCCCTTCCTCACATTCTTTCACCTCGGTGAGAAGTTCCTGAGTTTTGTCTATCTTCTGAGTAATCAGTTCCTGTATCCGCGACAGTTTTTCTGACTCAGGGATCTTTTTCGGGATGGGTCGGTGGCCAGTAGAGTCTGAACGGGACAGGATCTCCTCCATGGAGGCACATTTGTTCTTCTCAGAATAGGACAACTTTTTAGGGACCTGAGGTGTGTAGGTTGTGCCCTTTCCAAATGAGTCACGGTGCGTACCCCATTTATCCCAAGGAATTTGTTCTTTCGCTTGTAGGTTTTCCGACTTTCCTTTCTCTGAAGATTTGAAATTCTCAGAGTCGGATCTGCGGCGGGTGGAAGCCAGCTGGGCCACCGATTTGTCCAGGTCCACTCTGAAGCTTTGTTCACAGCTGCTTTGCTCCTCCGGAGAGGCGTCTTCTTCCTGGATAAGGTCTAGAGTCAGCATACCATCGGACGTTGAGGTAGATGCCTACAAAAAGAAAAGGGAAACCTTTAACAAATGGTTTAGCTTCCAAAATGCAAAACAGGTAAGACTTAAAGCATAAACAAACACAGATTTCTAGCCATCTACTGCTGTTTCTGGCTGCTAGCCTCAGGTGATATGGAATGAGATTTGATGAAATCACTATTGTGCTGCTTACTGTTCTTGCCTCCAAGCTCTCAAATGAGGAAGCAAAGTCCTGCCTCTACCAAGATGGCCACTTTCATACAGATACATGGTGCGAGACGACATGATAAGTCAGTAATGGGGAAAGATCCACTGCAGAGGAACCACAGGCAATATTAGTCCTTTGTCTTCTTATCTGCCATTTTTTTTGGCATAGCTTCCAGAGTTCAGTCTCCCTTTAGGCAAAGAACAAACAAACAAGCTACTATTAGAAAAGCTTGCTGCCAGAATAGAAAAGAGGTGTTTGAATGAAAAATATGGTCCATATGAACCAGACCGCTCCTTAAGCTGGCCATACATGATTCATATTTTTTGTTCAATTACCTGGTTGAATGAAAAAAAAAAGCTGAATTCTTCCCACTGTGCCTTTGTATTCTGACAGCAGGGAGCCGTCTCAGCCTTCAGAATACAATGATCATTTTTTTTCCAGCTATAGCCAGTGGTACTAATCATTCCAAAAACACCCAACAGACTAGTTGTACACAAGTCATTTGATAGACTGATTTGTTCAACCAGCTTGCCCATATGTGGATTGAAATTCGGTTGGTCCCTGCTGGACTGGGCAAACTTTGATCCATGCATGACCAGGGTGTTCTGGTCAGCACAACAACTCCACCTTCACCATCTCCCAACTTTTTTTTGTTTTAATTACAGAGATCTCAAACACACATAACCAGGTTGGCCTTCTAACTTGTGAACAGAAGGAAGCTATATTCTCAATGATATATGGTGACATGACAAATTGCTATTCCACCTTCACTATACTGGTTTCTGCCACCCATTGAGACTCTCCACCCCCCTTTCCCTTTTTCTAATCGCTTTTTATTATTTGCATGTTTTGGGGTTTTGTTTTGTATTTTTTTGCAACCCTGTACCCAGCACTCTGATGTATACTTCTTGTGATGTCTACAGCAGTATTTTCTGTAAATGCCCCCCCCCCCCTTCAAAAAAAAAGATTGTTAAAAAAAAATCTTGTGATTCAACCTGTGACTCCAAGATGGGAAAAATACTTTTTTGTGGAAATATTTGTTATTTTCATATAGAAACATTAAGATACTACTCCATGAAGTCATGAGAAAAAAGTGTACAGCATTTGGTCCTTCCTCACCCCTTAATTTAGGAGAAGGAAGGACCGTATGTGATGGGTTTACCACCATTACTGTGAGCCCAGGTTTCATTTCAGGAACAGTGACAGAGACGTGGGAACTTTGACAAATGATGCCCCCATTGATACTATGTTTTGGCAGAGATTGCTCCCCATTGCAACAGGAAGAAAAGACATGTTGTTCATGACACAAGGCTCTGTGTTTGCAGCTGATCTGCCAGGTGGGTCTGGGGCCATCCTACAGATCAGGGGTCACCAACGGCCCCATATGGCCACCGGTCACACCTGTTGGAGCAATGGTGACTATTTTAAATGTTTTGCTATAGGGTTAAACTCGACCTAACCTCTTCAACTGTGGAGATGTCAAACGTAATAAAAGTTACTAGACTGAAAAAGCCTCTACTTCTCTATGACAAAATCATGGCCTAAATCTCAGGAAGTGCCAGTATTAATTTTTAGAACAACTACCTGATGTTCGAAAACAAGAAAGGCAGAACAGGTTCTCACATTTCATGGGTTTAGATTAAAATACAACCGTTAATGTGTGTGTGTGTATATATGTTTGTGTGTGTGTGTATATATATATATATATCCCTTGCCCACTCTATCCAAAATTAAAGAAACAAAAGGTCTCTGGACTTTACATGTTCTTTAAAGAGTCCCTATCACCAACGTAAAAATTGCATGTATAAGCACAGAAATATCAGGTATTTTAGATGCTTGCTTACAGCCTTTTTCCTTCCCATAAATTATCTTTTATTGGCTTAAAATTTACCTGCAGCCTTTTTCTTTTCCATAAATTATCTTCTATTGGCTTGAAATTCCCTTCCACAGCTCCCTCCCTCTTTGCACTTCATAACTCTGTCCTCTTGTGGAAGTGTCTAATTACTCTATTTGCTGATCCAGCTACTGTGCCCCTTCCATCTAACCTTTTATGTAGCTCCAAGGGAAGGAGCAAAGGTGATGACTATAAACCAACCATTCTCAACCAGGGTCATGTGGAACTCTAGGGTTCCTCCAGATGTTTCTAGGGATTCCTTGAGCTGTGGGCAATTGTCTTCCTATCTGATGGTGCCTGCATAGTTCCAGGGTCAACACCACTCAGCAGAGTCAGCAGCATGACACCAATTATCTTTTTAGATGCATTTTTAGACTTGCTGTCAGGGATCACGGCGCCGGAATCCTGCATCACGGCGCCGTCCCCCCGCGCATGCGCACTGGCGGCGAGCCGCGGCTGACAGGACGCCGCGCATGCGCAGTAGAGAGTCGAGGGCGCGCCTCAGGCGTCCAGTGACAGCCGGGGGCGCGTCCCAGCCAGCCAATGACAGTGCAGGGCGCACTATTTAAAGATGCCCTGCACTGTCACCCATTGCCGCAAGGTCTTATGTGATCCTGGATACCTGCTCCTGTTCTGTGACCCTGTTTTCGACCCTGACTACGCTGCCTGCCCCTGTGTTTGACCCGGCTTGTCCTGACTACTCTGCCTGCTCCTGCGTTTTGACTCGGATATCCTGACTATTCTACGGACTGATTTACCTGGCTGACCCTGCATGTGACCTGACTACTCCTTGCCCGCTGATTTGGTACCCCGCTTACCCCCCACGGAACCACTATCCGTGCCACCCTGCTGGGGCCGTCATCCGCCTCATATCTGGCTCTCCCGGTACCTACACGCATCCCCGGAGGCCTTCCCAGCCGCTGGTGGGCCCGCCCAGAGGTCGTGACCTGGCCCGGGACTGTTTCAAGTCCATCCCCACCATCAGGGGCCCTGGTGAAGGCACAGCCCGGGCTTAGACCCCACGCTCTGGGTTGGTCTATCAGTTGGCAGCCGGAAGGCTCCGCCTGGCGGATCATAACAGTACCTTGCGGCCATGACAGAGCCAGGAGGTGGACCGGCGTCCCTAGAGGATATTTGCCAGCACCTGGCAACTTTGACCCAGGCCTTCCAGAACTTCCACAGTCGCTGCGCCCGACTGGAAGACCACATGGAGACATTAGCCCCCCAGACTCCCCCTGCTCAGAGTCCCCCCCGCGTCTGGGGAACCTCCCGCTACCCCGACATCCGGAGCGGTTGCCACACCCTTAGCTCCTGAGCCCCCGCGTTCCCCTGCCGGAACGGTTCCGTGGTGACCGGAGCCGCTTCCGAGCCTTCCGGAATGCTTGCACACTATATTTTGACTTGCAGCCCCGCACATTCTCCTCCGAGACCGTCAGGGTGGGGTTTATAGTCTCTCTCCTTCAGGATGAGCCCCAGGATTGGGCTCACCGTCTGATGGAGAGGCGTGACCCCCAGCTTGACTCCGTGACCAAGTTCTTTCAGGCCATGGCAGTATTGTATGACGACCCTCAGCGGGCTGCCTCCGCAGAGGCTACCCTATACTCTCTGCGGCAAGGCCGCCGGGCAGCCGAAGAATACGGGTCCGACTTTAGGCGATGCATGGGAGACACCAGATGGAACAATGCGGCCTTATGTCACCAGTTCCGCATCGGGCTGTCTGAGTCTCTCAAGGACGAACTAGCACGAGTAGGCCTACCAGACTCCCTGGAAAGACTGATTGAGTTGGCCATCCAGATTGACCGTAGGTTAAGGGAACGTCGGCTGGAAAGGAGCAGCCAGGGTCAAAGGGTGGCATGGATCCCACCGAGAGACACAGCTCCAACCCCAGGGAACCATCCCCGAGGCACGGAATCGGGGGACAACCCGGAACCCATGCAGCTGGGACTGGCCCGTTCCCACTTGTCGGTCGAGGAACGTCAAAGGAGACGATCGCTGAACCTATGCCTGTACTGCGGGGAAGCTGGTCACCAGGTGCGCTCCTGTCCTGCAAAGATGAGTAAGTCCGCTTCCTTTTCTTTTACCTTACCCGCAGGAAGGGATGATCAGTCCAATTACCTGGCCATACCTGTGTCTTTGCAGCTCCCGGGAAGAACACTATCGGTGACCGCAATCGTTGACTCTGGAGCTTGTAGTTGCTTTGTCGACCTGACTTTTGCCCACCGGCAAAAAATACCACTGCAGACCAAAGAAAGGGGGTTCAACATCTTCTTGGCAGACGGCTCCAGTATAAAATCAGGGGTGGTGGACCAGGAGACACCACCCATTTTTACCACAATAGCAGACCATCACCAGGAGTTCCTCCGTTTGGATGCCATCGCATCACCCCTATTTCCAGTCATTCTGGGGCTCCCTTGGCTGCGGGCCCATAACCCCCAGGTTGACTGGGAAAGGGGGACGATTCAATTTAGGTCACCCTACTGTTTGAATCACTGCCAGGTCACGGGATCCGTGGGTCCCCGGTTCCTCCTGTGCTTGGACGGTGATGCCAATCTATCCCAGACTATTCCCCCGGTCTACCATGACTTCTTGGACGTTTTCAGTAAGCGAGGGGCTGACGTTCTTCCCCCACACCGTTCTTACGATTGTCCTATAGACCTCCTACCCGGATCTGAGATCTCGTTCGGCCGGATCTTTCCCTTGTCAGAAACGGAATCGGGTGTACTGAGGGAATATATTGACGAGAACCTGCGGAAGGGGTTTATTCGTCCTTCCACATCCCCAGCCGGGGCCGGGCTGTTCTTCGTAGAGAAGAAGGACAAATCGTTACGGCCCTGCATAGACTACCGTGATCTAAACAAGATAACGGTAAAGAACCGTTATCCCTTACCGTTAGTCCCCGAGCTCCTCCAGAGATTAAAATCGGCAATGATATTCACTAAACTAGACCTGCGGGGGGCCTATAACCTTGTCCGTATCAGGGAGGGGGATGAGTGGAAGACGGCCTTCCGTACGAGATTCGGTCACTACGAATATCTAGTGATGCCATTCGGGCTCTGTAATGCACCGGCAACCTTCCAGCATTTCATCAACGATGTTTTTCGTGATTTCCTCGATGTCTTTGTAGTAGTTTATTTGGATGACATCCTAATTTTCTCCCCTTCACTGGAGGTTCATCGAGGTCACGTAGTACGGGTATTAGACGGTTGCGTCAACACGGGCTATACGCCAAGGCAGAAAAGTGCTGTTTCGAACAGCGCGAAATCACGTTCTTGGGACTGGTTCTCTCTTCCGCGGGGGTCGCGATGGATCCCCAGAAAGTCACGGCGATCTTAGATTGGCCAATACCCCCGCCGACAAAAAGGGGGTACAGCGTTTCATCGGCTTTTCCAATTTTTATAGAAAGTTTGTTAGGAACTTCTCCGGTCTGGTCTCCCCGATCACGCAACTGACGAAACAAGGGGTCCGTTTTAAGTGGACTTCCGAAGCCCAGACGGCATTCGAGAAGCTCAAAAAATTATTCACGTCTGCGCCCATCCTCTGCCATCCGGATACTTCCCTCCCATATGTCTTGGAAGTGGATGCCTCTGAGAACGCGGTAGGAGCGGTTCTGTCCCAAAGAAATGGAACCAAGGAACTACTGCACCCCGTGGCGTTCTTCTCCAGGAAGTTGACGCCGGCTGAACGTAACTATGACATTGGAGATCGGGAGCTCCTGGCCATCAAATCCGCTCTAGAAGAATGGAGGTACTTACTGGAAGGAGCACACCCAATCCTAGTCTTCACAGATCACAAGAACCTGGAATCCTAGCGAAACGACTGAGACCTCGCCAGGCAAGATGGGCTCTTTTCTTCTCGCGATTCACTCTCCATATTACGTACCGACCCGGTACTAAGAACACAAAACCAGACGCTCTGTCCCGCATGTTTGAGGACCCCGATGACACAGTGGCACCTGACACCATCTTACCTTCCGGAAGTTTCCTTGCTCTACAAACAGAACTTCGTTCCAGACTCCTCGACGCTTCTACAGGACTACCAGTTCCGTCGGGGTCACCCCTCCTGAACCACGGCGGGCTGTTTTGGAAGGAAGACCGGATCATGGTCCCAGAAGAGGTGCGAACCCTGGTCCTAGGGCACTGCCACGACCATCGAATGGCAGGTCACTTCGGGGTTGCGAAAACTCTGGAACTACTACGGCGCTCGTTCTGGTGGCCGAACATGAATAAGGACTGCGAGCGTTACGTCCAGACCTGCTCCACCTGTCAAAGGAACAAGCCCTCCAGGAGCCGGGCATGGGGATTGTTACGTCCATTACCAATACCCAAGCGGGCCTGGAAAATGATTGCCATGGACTTTGTGGTCGAACTCCCACCATCCCAAGGCTACACAGCAATAATGGTGGTCGTGGACCGCTTCTCAAAGATGGCACATTTTATACCCCTGGAGAAAACCCCATCGGCACCTGAAACGGCACGGATCTTCATTAAGGAAGTAGTCAGGCTTCATGGGGTCCCCGAAGATATAGTGTCAGATCGGGGAGTCCAATTCACCTCCAGGTTCTGGAACTCCTTGTGTAAAGCACTAGGAATCAAGCTGTCGCTTTCATCCGCCTACCACCCACAGACCAACGGCCAAACCGAGAGGACCAACCAAACGCTGGAACAATACCTGCGATGTTACACGTCCTACCTTCAGGATGACTGGTTGACGTTGTTGCCGTCCGCAGAATTCGCGTACAACAACTCGAGTCACTCTGCAACGGGGCAATCCCCGTTCTTCGCCAATTACGGGTATCATCCCACATTTCTCCCTGACCTGATGCCTGAAAACCCGGTACCGGCATCTCAGGACGTCTTAAACTTCTTCTCTGTCAATAACAAGACAATTCAGGAAGCCATCGCCAAAGCCCAAGGGGACAGTAAGAGGGCGTTCGACAGGAAAAGAAGAGGAGAATTACTGCTTCAACCAGGGGATCGGGTATGGCTGTCAACGACCAACTTGAAGATGCTGCATCCTTCGAGGAAGCTGGGACCCAAGTACATTGGCCCATTTCCGGTAAAGCGTGTAGTCAACAAGGTGGCCTACGAGCTTGAGCTTCCGCAGACCTTCAGGGTACATCCTGTGTTCCATGTGTCTCTCCTGAAGCCATCCAGACCGGATCCTTTCCCGGACCGTGAGTCCAGACCTCCCGAGGCAATCTCCGTAGATGACCAGGAGGAATACGAAGTGGAGACTATCCTCAGTTGCCGACGGAGGGGGAACCAGACCCAGTTCCTGATAAAATGGAAGGGTTATGGCCCTGAGGAGAACTCATGGGAACCCGCCCAGAACACATTCACGCTCCCCGGCTCATCCGGGAATTTTTTCGTGGACACCCGCGGTGGAGAGATCAGTGGGGCTCCCGGAGGGTGCCCATTGGGGGGGGGCAGTGTCAGGGATCACGGCGCCGGAATCCTGCATCACGGCGCCGTCCCCCCGCGCATGCGCACTGGCGGCGAGCCGCGGCTGACAGGACGCCGCGCATGCGCAGTAGAGAGTCGAGGGCGCGCCTCAGGCGTCCAATGACAGCCGGGGGCGCGTCCCAGCCAGCCAATGACAGTGCAGGGCGCACTATTTAAAGATGCCCTGCACTGCACACCCATTGCCGCAAGGTCTTATGTGATCCTGGATACCTGCTCCTGTTCTGTGACCCTGTTTTCGACCCTGACTACGCTGCCTGCCCCTGTGTTTGACCCGGCTTGTCCTGACTACTCTGCCTGCTCCTGCGTTTTGACTCGGATATCCTGACTATTCTACGGACTGATTTACCTGGCTGACCCTGCATGTGACCTGACTACTCCTTGCCCGCTGATTTGGTACCCCGCTTACCCCCCACGGAAACCACTATCCGTGCCACCCTGCTGGGGCCGTCATCCGCCTCATATCTGGCTCTCCCGGTACCTACACACATCCCCGGAGGCCTTCCCAGCCGCTGGTGGGCCCGCCCAGAGGTCGTGACCTGGCCCGGGACTGTTTCAAGTCCATCCCCACCATCAGGGGCCCTGGTGAAGGCACAGCCCGGGCTTAGACCCCACGCTCTGGGTTGGTCTATCAGTTGGCAGCCGGAAGGCTCCGCCTGGCGGATCATAACACTTGCGTTCTTCCCATTGACCACCAGTGTAGGGGGACATTCTTCCCACTTACCACCAATTTAAGAAGCATTCTTCCCACTGACCACCAATTTAAGAAGCATTCCTCCCACTGATCAATGTAAGGGGCATTCTTCCCACTGACTACCAATGTAAAGAGCACTCTTCCCACTGAACACCAATGTAAGGGGCATTCTTCCCAATGACCACCAATGTAAGGAGCATTCTTACCACTGACCACTAATGTAAGGAGCATTCTTCTCTAACCACCATTGTAAGGAGGAGATGTTCTTCCCACCAGTGTAAGGGGCATTCTTCTAATTGGCTACCAATGTAGGGAGCATTCTTCCCACTGATTACCAATGTAAAGAGCATGCTTCCCACTGATCACCAATGTAAGGTGCATTCTTACCACTGACCGCCAATGTAAGGGGCATTCTTCCCATTGAGCACCATTGTAAGGAGGTTTTCTTCCCACTGGCCACAAATGTAAAGGTCTTTTTTCCCTATTGACCCATGATAAATTAGTTTTAAAAATCTGTTTATTTTAGGTGTTCTGTGTTCCCCTGGGGTCAAAAGGCTGAAAATGACAGCTACAGAGTGTCACTGGAGAGAGAGCTCTCAATCTGCTTACATCACATGCAAGATGGAGGAGCGCAGTGGCAGTCTCGGGGATTTTGGTTTGGATGTCTACACAAAGAAGGCTTTTACAGGTAAATAACATGAATAAAATGTTAAATACACATACTGTATAATCTGATGTGAAGATTTTTAATATAAAGAATGGTCTGATGACAGGGTCTCATTAACCAAATTAGAAAGAATTAATGCAGATGACTCAAGTAAACCAATAAAACAACCACCAGACATCTGCTATTATAAGTTCTCTCCAGTCTAAATCTGACCAGCTGCTGATCATGGTAAACGATAGGTTTATATTGTAATAAATGCAACATCTTCAGAATGTCCACCTTCCAGGTCTGCCATACTTACCACAGCCATGAGGTGACCTCTTGTCGGTGGGCGCCTTGAGTGTTGGATTTTTGCTCTATCCCTGGTTGGATGGGCCAGAAAACTTTCCTCCTCCACCGTTACCTAGAAGATGACACAGAGACTTGTGTTTCAAGCTGTGGCAGCCATTGAGAAAAAGAGCATCTGAGGTCAAGTTAGAGATCTCTAACAACTTGTCAAACTTTCAACAGATTTTAGGTTCCCGATTTGACCAGCCAGTTCCTAAGGTTCCCACAGAATTTGTGTTCACACATGTGGCCAAGAGTCTTTAAAAACAAGAGATTGATCCACAATTTTACCACCCCTTGACCACGAGGCTGCAAGATAAATAGGTTCAGTAGCAGTAGCAGTTTTGTCTACCAAACCTGGGCCATTCAAGTGAATTGGACCACGAAGCAGCCACATGCAATGCACACTGTTGAGGTGGGCATTCAGTTGTTATGCAGGTGTTAAAAGAGGTGACATATCTCATCTTTTATATTTTACCAAAAATTGGGTTAAAAAAAAAAGGAGGCGCAATATCACCTCTGACGCACCTGTCAACTGCCTCTGAATCATTTTTCAGAGTGGCAGGAAACGCTACTGCACATGTAAAGTGTAAGGGCCCATTCAGACGTTGGTGTCTTGGTGCGTTGTATTAGGGCTTGTTCACAACAGGTGTGGTAGGACTGCGTTGGGCAGCTATTCCTGCACATTTCTGCCGCAAGACAAGGCAAAATGCCTGATCTCCTATGAGAGTTCACACCTCTCGTTGCGGTAGTGTGAGCTGAAAAATATAGGTGGCATATGGGACTTGTAGTTCATTCATTCACAGATTCCTGTGAATGGATGCCGTGGCTGTGTGGGTGCAGCCCCGCACAGCTGTGCTGTTTTTTAATTGTGACAGTGGGTGCAGGGCGAAAACCCCCTGCCTACTCTCACAGTAGGGGGATCCAGGGTGTGTGGAGGAGAACCCCCTGCCTGCTGTCAGAGTGGGGGGATTGGGGGTGTGTGGAGGAGAATCCCCACCCATTTTCACAGTGGGAGATTAAGGGGTTGGGGATAAGAACTCCTGCCCGCTGTCACAGTGAGGGATTGGGGTGTGGGTAGAAGAACCCCTGTTATAGTGGGGGTCAGGGGTACGAGGAAAAGAACCCCCACCCGCTGTCACAATGGAGGATAGGTCGGGGGCAGGGAGAACATCCGCCTGTTGTCACAGTGGGGGATCTGGGGCGCGGTGAGAACTCCAGCCTGCTGTCACAATGTGAATCAGGTGCAGAGAGCAGAACCCCCACCTGCTGTCACAGAGGGGGATCAAGGGTGCAGGGAGAAGAAGCCCTGCCTGCTGTCACAGTGGGGGATTGGAGGTGTGGGGAGAAGAACCCCTGCCCAATGTCACAGTGGGGGATTATGGAGGGTGCTGCCTAGTCACATGTTACACCCTAAATATGGGTGTAACATGTTAATAAAAGTGAACTTATCCTTTAACAGAACAGAACTGGGAAAGCCGATACCATTGCTTGAGATTTAGGCTCAGCGCACAGGAAGCTACAAGGAGTCTTGATTTATAGCAGGATCATTAGGTATTTCTCAGTACCTGAAAAAATCTACCTAGTCTAAAAATAATGAAAACAAAGAAACTACTACCTCTAGGTTAATGATTCATACTCTGAATTGTCTGGGGTCATCAGTGGTGTACCCTAAGGTTCATTGTTGGGACCCTTACTTTTTAATATATATATAATAAACGATATCGGGTCTGAGATTATAAATCCCATTTCAGTCTTTGCAGATGACACCAAGTTGTGCCGTGGAATAACGTCCGTACAGGGGGACTTCAACTTCCAAGCCGACCTCAATGCACTGTTTAATTGGGCAACTATGTGGCAAATGAGGTGTAATGTTGATAAATGTAAGGTTATGCACTTGGGGGTTAAGAATATGCATTCATCATACATACTAGGGGGGGTACAACTGGGGGAATCAATAGTGGAGAAGGATCTGGGGGTTCTGGTAGATCACAGTCTTAATAATGGCATGCAATGCCAAGCTGCGGCTTCTAAAGCGAGCAAAATCCTCTCTTATATTAAAAGAGGTATAGACTCCAGAGAGAGATATCATATTACCCCGGTACAAATCATTAGTAAGACCTCATCTGGAATATGAAGTTCAGTTTTGGGCACCAATTCACAAAAAGAACATTGGGGAACTGGAGAAAGTGCAGAGAAGGGCAACCAAACTGATAAGAGGCATGGAGGAGATCAGCTATGAGGAAAGATTAGAGGAACTGAATTTATTCTCTCTTGAGAAGAGGAGATTAAGGGGGATATGATCACCATGTATAATACATAAGGGGGGATATGATCACCATGTATAATACATAAGGGGGATATGATCTCCATGTATAATACATAAGGGGGGATATGATCTCCATGTATAATACATAAGGGGGGATATGATCTCCATGTATAATACATAAGGGGGATATAATCTCCATGTATAATACATAAGGGGGGATATAATCTCCATGTATAATACATAAGGGGGGATATAATCTCCATGTATAATACATAAGGGGGGATATGATCTCCATGTATAATACATAAGGGGGGATATGATCTCCATGTATAATACATAAGGGGGGATATGATCTCCATGTATAATACATAAGGGGGATATGATCTCCATGTATAATACATAAGGGGGGATATGATCACCATGTATATAATACATAAGGGGGGATATGATCTCCATGTATAATACATAAGGGGGGATATGATCTCCATGTATAATACATAAGGGGGGATATGATCTCCATGTATAATACATAAGGGGGGATATGATCTCTATGTATAATACATAAGGGGGGATATGATCTCCATGTATAATACATAAGGGGGATATGATCACCATGTATAATACATAAGGGGGATATGATCTCCATGTATAATACATAAGGGGGGATATGATCTCCATGTATAATACATAAGGGGGATATGATCTCCATGTATAATACATAAGGGGGGGATATGATCTCCATGTATAATACATAAGGGGGGGATATGATCTCCATGTATAATACATAAGGGGGGATATGATCACCATGTATAATACATAAGGGGGGATATGATCTCCATGTATAATACATAAGGGGGGATATGATCTTCATGTATAATACATAAGGGGGGGGATATGATCTCCATGTATAATACATAAGGGGGGGATATGATCTCCATGTATAATACATAAGGGGGGGATATGATCTCCATGTATAATACATAAGGGGGGATATGATCTCCATGTATAATACATAAGGGGGGATATGATCTCCATGTATAATACATAAGGGGGGATATGATCTCCATGTATAATACATAAGGGGGGATATGATCTCCATGTATAATACATAAGGGGGGATATGATCTCCATGTATAATACATAAGGGGGGATATGATCTCCATGTATAATACATAAGGGGGGATATGATCTCCATGTATAATACATAAGGGGAGATATGATCTCCATGTATAATACATAAGGGGGGATATGATCTCCATGTATAATACATAAGGGGGGGGATATGATCTCCATGTATAATACATAAGGGGGGATATGATCTCCATGTATAAATACATCAGTGGTTCATATAGTGAACTCGGTGTAGAACTATTCACCCTGAGGTCATCACAGAGGACAAGGGGGCACTCTTTACATCTGGAGGAAAAAAGAAATGTACTCTCCAAATACGGAAAGGGTTCTTCACAGTAATAGCTGTGAAAATGTAGAATAGACTCTCTCAAGAGTTGGTTCTGGCCAGCTCAGTGGATTGCTTCAAAAAAGTCCTGGATTCTTTCTTGGATACACAGAATATAACTGGATACTAACATTTATAGGTAAAGTTGATCCAGGGATTATCCGATTGCCTCTCAGGGGATCAGGAAGGAATTTTTTTCCCAGCGGGGGCAAATTGGAACGTGCTTTGCTGGGGTGTTTTTTCTTTTGCCTTCCTCTGGATCAACTGTGGGTATTATTATTATTATACAGTATTTATAAAGCGCCAATAGTTCGCTCAGCGCTGTACATTACAAAGGGGGACAGGACATGTGACAGAACAATAACAATACAATGCAAAACATGAGGGGATCGAGGGCCCTGCTCTTTCGAGCTTACAAGTGGGTATAGGATTATAACTTTTTTTTTTTTTCTATGGTTGAACTGGATGGACTTTTGTCTTTTTTCAGCCAGACTAACTATGTAACTCTAAGGACTGGTAAGCTGCAGTATACTGTTCTGGTACCCATGGCTTTAATGCCAGCTTGGGGATCAGCTGTTATGTACTGAGAGCAGGCACCCAGCACACTGACCAAGCTGTCACCAACACTGATCAGGAGCCAGCAGGATGGGCTTCTGATCATGTGACCACTCTGACAGCCAATCACAGTGGTCACAAGAATCCGGAATGACATCTCTGCCTGCTGGTGTAAAGATGGTGCCAGAAGGCAACAGCAAGGGGTTAAATATTCATTCTCGGGTTTGGAAATGCTTTAACTTGTAAAGTAAGAGAAATACAATAAAAAGTTTGGGGCTTCTTTATTTTGACTTGGGGTGAGGGTCTCAAGATAAGACAACAGTTTGTTAACATAGGAAACTTTAACCTGAGTGGGTACAGCTTACCTCATCCAAGATGCGGTTCTTGGCTCGTGTGATTGCAGAGTTCAAGGCGTTGATCCAAGATTCCTTCTCTTCGGGGCTCACGGCAAGGAAGATCAGGTTCGGAGCCTGAGGAGAATAATGGCTCCATCATACTCTATATCTGAGCTCTAGTAATATGGATGAAATCTCTACATTAAAAAACATTTAATGCAGAACTACCGGGTATTGAGGGGCATATTGAGAACCCTAAGTGTAACTTACTGTATTTCCCGGCTGCTTTGACCGCACAAGTGAGAAGCGGCTGTGGTTCTTCTTGGACCGGCTCCTAGATTTCCGGAGCTCTTCACACTTCTCGTAGTCACTGAGGTCAAAAATCTCTTGTCCGTTCTTTTCGTCTTTCACCTAGAAGACATTGTGACCCAAATTATAGAAAGTATCATAAAAAAAAGACACATAGAGAACATGTTCTGCTCATTTCAACAACAATCTTCCCATAAGAGTATTGGTACAATTAATGTACACCATATTTCCAAAAGTATTGGGACGCCTGCCTTTACACGTACATTAACTTCAATGGCATCCCAGTCTTAGTCCGTAGAGTTCAGTATTAAGTTGGCCCTGCCCTTTGCAGCTATAACAGTTTCAACTATGTGCAGGCCAGTCAAGTTCCTCCCCCCAAACCCACTCAACCATGTCTTTATGGACCTTGCTTTGTGCACTGGTGCGCAGTCATGTTGGAACAGGAAGGGGCCATCCCCAAACTATTCCTACAAAGTTGGCAGCATGAAATTGTCCAAAATGTCTTGGTATGCTGACGCCTTAAGAGTTCCCTCCACTGGAACTAGGGGGCCAAGCCCAACCCCTGAAAAACAACCCCACACCATAATCCCCCCTCCACCAAACTTTACACTTGGCACAATCAAGTACTGTTTTCCTGGCAACCGCCAAACCCAGACACATCCATCGGATCGCTAGACAGAGAAGAGTGATTCATCATTCCAGAGAACACATCTCCACTGCTCTAGAGTCCAGTGGCGGCGTGCTTTACACCACGGAATCCAACGCTTTGCATTACACTTGGTGATGCAAGGCTTGGATGCAGCTGCTCGACCATGGAAACCCATTCCATGAAGCTCTCTACATACTGTTGTGCTAATCTGAAGACCACATGAAATTTGGAGGTCTTTAGAAACTCTGCAGACAGTTGGCCACTTCTGCGCACTGTGCGCTTCAGCATGCACTAACCCCTGTGATTTTACGTGGTCTACCACTTGGTGGCTGAGTTTCTGTTGTTCGCAGTTGCTTTCACTTTGTTATAATCACACTAACAGCTGACCGTGGAATATTTAGTAGCCAGGAAATGTCACGGATGGACTTATTGCACAGGTGGCCACCTATCACGGGACCACGCTTGGAGTCACTGATCTCCTGAGAGCGACCCATTCTTTCACAAATGTTTGTAGAAGCAGTCTGCATGCCTAGGGGCTTGATTTTATACTCTTGTGGCAATGAAGGTGATTGGAAAACCTGAATTCAATGATTTAGAGGGCGGGCCCAATACTTTTGGCAATATAGTGTATTTTAGGCATGTTATTTATCATTAAAAGCCTCCTTTGTATACCAGCTTCGGTGTGGGGTCAGCGGCCCCAGCAGACTCAGAGCTGTCACTTAGGGAGCCCCACTATAATATTCCATTTTTGTTCCAACCCTCAAAGCCACATAAAAGGTTGTGTAGGGAGATGAGAGGAGGGGTGGAAGAGTTGGGCCAGCACAGACTGTAATTAAACATCCCCATAAGAGGAGAGGGCTATGATGTGCAAACAGGGAAGTGGCAGGGGCCATCTGTGCCCTAGCAAACAATGACGTTATGGGGCCCAGCTACCGACATCCAAGCAACCAATGATGCTGTGTGGCCCCAAGAGCACATCATCTTTTACAGCTAGGATGCAGATGGCCCATGTGGCAATCTGCCAGCATGGATTGTAAATTCACATCCCCAGAAGAGGAGATGGTTATGATTTGCAAGCAGGGAAGGGGCAGGGGCTGGCCGCCAGCATCCTAGCAACCGATGATATGATGTTCCACCAGTAGCGATTTGTCCTTTTTTGCTAGGATGCAGATGGCCCATATGGCAAAAATGGCTGTTTCAGGCGGCACCAGCCCCCCGATATGGAGCTGAACAGGGGGAGCAACATGGAAGTGGAGTGGGCAAATAATGAGCCCGTGGCTGTCTTTTGCATAGGAAATGCATATATTCACATGCAGACATATGTATGTAGAAGTTCCCATATACAGTACACCATACACAAATATTTAGATGTATCTAGAGGCATTTTTTCTTTTTAGGCTCCAATACCTCTTAGATTGTAAGCTCTTATGATCACCCTCTTGTATTTTATTGTATTGTAACTGTACTGTCTCCCTTTAGATTGTAAAGTGCTGTACAAGCTGTTGGAGCGATATAAATCCTGTATTATAAAAATAATAATACATTAGGGAAGCGTAGGAACATCTGTCAGATTTTATTTGCCATATATGTCCAACTGGGAAGATTTTCCCTCAGTCCCAAAGACACAACAATAACTCAACAGGAAGTGAGTGGACATCTCTCCTAAGTGAGGCGAAATCCTCTCCTAGATTGTTGTCACCAGAGCAGGTGTCCCAATAGGATGAGTTATCTTCTACACCTGATCCCATACTAACTGTAATTTGGAATTCCCTTTACTGGTCACCAAGACAAAACAAAAAGGGTGAAAATATGTTGTCTTTACATATACTTTTAGCATATCTTTATATCTATGATTAATATAATACTAAGTGCAGTGTTCACATCTTCATGGGCTGAGGCTCCTCAGAGGAGAACCACAGCTTCCTCTAATGGGACTTCTAACAGGAAGTCATCTGCTTGCAGAAAAAAAATACTTATCACCAGATCAAAAACTTTGGGGGGTTTTTTCATATGGTGTCCAAAATTATTATTATTATTATACAGTATTTATAAAGCGCCAATAGTTCGCTCAGCGCTGTACATTACAAAGGGGACAGAACATGTGACAGAACAATACCAATACAATGCAAAACATGAGGGGATCAAGGCCCTGCTCTTTCGAGCTTACAATCTAGGAGGGAGGGGATGGTGGCACAGGAGGAGATAGCTGTGGGGGATGGAGTGGTAGGAAGAGTGGAGGAGGTCGGCAGGTTAGCAGGGGGTGGGGTAGGCTTCCCTGAAGAGATGGGTTTTCAGGGTGCGCCTAAAGGAGAGGGGAGTAGGTGATAATCTGATGGGTTGGGGCAGGGAGTTCCAGAGGATGGGTGACACCCTGGAGAAGTCCTGGAGGCGGGCATGGGAGGAGGAGACCAGGGAACTAGAGAGAAGGAGGTCTTGTGAGGAGCGGAGTGTGCGTGTTGGGTGGTACTTGGATATTAGGTCAGTGATGTAGTTCGGGGCAGTATGGTGGACAGCTTTGTACGTCAGTGTTAGGATTTTGAATTTGATCCATTGCGCAATCGGAAGCCAGTGGAGGGATTGGCAGAGGGGGGTGGCGGAGATGGAGCGGTTGGAAAGGTGAATGAGTCTGGCAGACGTATTCAGGATCGACTGAAGCGGGGATAGCCAGTGGCGAGGCAGGCCAGTGAGGAGGGAGTTGCAGTAGTCCAGTCGTGATATGATGAGGGAGTGGATGAGCTGTTTAGTGGTTTCAGGGGTTAGGAACGTGCGTATTTTGGCGATGCGTTATTCATTCTGTCTCAACTGCTTAAGATGGCCTCTCTCAACATTTTCAAGGTGGAGAAATGCTCCTGGTCTCAAGGAAACCCTGCTAATAATTACTTTATCTACAGATCACGGTACATTAGTGTGATGTTCATTGGGGAGAATGATTCCTACATTTGTGGTCATTCGGAACATTCCCTCCCTTACTGATGGCTAAAAAGATCCATGGTTAATTATCTGAGAGAACAAAGTTGCTCAGTGCTCATGGAACCCCTAGCAATCTCTGGAGGAACACCGGTTGAGAAAGGCTGGCTTAAGATGTCTAATTTCACATGACTGAATGCTGCCATATTCTTTTTTTCCTTTTTTTTTCCTTTTCTTTATATATACAGTTGCAAGAAAAAGTATGTGAACCCCTTGGGATTACGTGGAGTTTTGCATGAATTGGGCATAAAATGTGCTCTGAACGTCATCTAAGTGACAACAATAGAAGAACACAGTCTGCTGAACATAATACTACACAAACATTAGATGTTGCCATGGTTTAATTGCACATAACATGTAAACATTCACAGTGCAGGGAGGACAAATCTACTGTGGACAGATGAAACCAAGATTGAGTTGTTTAGGAAGAACACACAACACTATGTGTGGAGAAAAAAAGGCACAGCACACCAACATCAAAACCTCATCCCCACTGTAAAACATGGCGGAGGGAGCATCATAGTTTGGGGCAGCTTTGCCGCCTCAGGGCCTGGACAGATTGTTCTCATTGATGGGAAAATGAATTTCAGAGTTTATTAAGACATTTTGCAGGAAAACGTACGACCATCTGTCCGCCAACTGAAGCTCCGCAGAGGATGGGTGATGCAACAGGACAATGACCCAAAGCATACAAGTAATTCAACAAAACAATGGCTGGAACAGCATAGAATACGCCTTCTGGAGTGGCCCAGTCAGAGTCCTGACCTCAACCCGATTGAAATGCTGTGGCATGACCTTAAGAGAGCGATTCACACCAGACATCCCAAGAATATTGCTACACTGAAACAGTTTTGTGAAGAGGAGTGGTCCAAAATGACTCCAGATTGTTGTGCAGGTCTGATCTGCAACTACAGGAAACGTTTGGTTGAGGTTATTGCTGCCAAAGGAGGGTCAACCAGTTATTAAGTCCAAAGGTTCACATACTTTTTCCTCCCTGCACTGTGAATGTTTACATGTTATGTGCAATTAAACCATGGCAACATCTAATGTTTGTGTAGTATTATGTTCAGCAGACTGTGTTCTTCGATTGTTGTGACTTAGATGAGGTTCAGAGCACATTTTATGCCCAATTCATGCAAAAACTCCACGTAATCTCAAGGGGTTCACATACTTTTTCTTGCAACTGTACCTTTTCCAAATGTCTTCAAGATTCTTCTTCTCTGGCAGTGGACTGATAGACGCAGAGTACAGTGCTAAGGGGATGAAGCATCACCATTCCTTGCATCACTGTGGTGACACCCCCTCAGGGGGCAGGTCCATGACGCCCAGCACTCACTGGATGTCCTCAGTCATCCAGGTTAATTGACAGTTAGCATTACTCAATCCAGAAGACTGAGGACATCCAGTGGTTGAAAAGAATTACTACTGTGGAAATCCAATATTTTAGGCTTCTATCCGTTCCAAGGACAACTGCCTGACGGGATTT